CGATTGATAAAAGTGAAGAAGAAAGCTTGCTCATGGCTCACCAAGTCCAAGCTCGCGATCTTCTCAATAAACACCCACACCCAATGGCGAATTGTCTTTTCATCCTTCATGAAGATCATGGCCAGTACAGCGTGACAGTGTATGTCCTGAGGAACATGAGTGTGGCCAGAAAGTAGGTCACCCAGCGAATATCGCTCATTGGATCAGCATCACCAGCATGTTCAGAGCTCAAGCGGCAGATGAGGAGCCACCAAAACAGCCCGAAATGTCCGATTGTACCGGTAAGTTTCACGGTTGACTGCTCTGCTGTAAGCCCTTGGTAAGTTGAACCGTGATATGTATCGGGTGTTATCTTCGCATGGCGTGGTGGTTGGTTCGTTGTTGTGGAAGATCGATTTTATGACAACAACAGAATGGTCGCAAAGTCGCAACTCCATGAAAAGCAATCCCGTCCTATTCACCTGTAGCCCATGTAGATCAGTAGTAGGCGGTGACCATTGACAACCTTGTAAGACCAAATCGAGATTGCCTTTGTGAGGTACCGGCAAGAAAAGAGATGCCATCGAAGATGGTCATGGTGGAGTTTCGAGTTGCAACTGAAAAGTGCTAGTGGAAAGTGCGCTGACACGATTGCTCCTTGGTTTGTTCTTCCGAATCAGCTGAATCCTGCTTGGCTTAAGAGAGGACTACTGGACGTTTGGTGTTTATATGCTTGCCTTTTTTGCGCAATAATTCAAATCCATTCAAATCGATTTGTATTTCCTGGCCACAATTTTGTCTAGAGGGTCGAGCTCCTGGGAACATTCGCTTCTCTGATTCTCTCCTAATATACATGAGAACATCTCCGTCTTCATCAACAGAGAGCGCTCACCATGTACATGTTGCACTCCAACACCACTCCTCCAGATCAGATGGGAGTACCGACGAATGAATGACAATGGCAGTCGGTGTCTGGTAACTGTTGATGGAACTGACTTTCGCATCAGGGAACCAGGTCCTTTCTCTACTGGTTGGTATACCAAGAAGTTTAATGGTCCTGGACTGAGGTATGAAATTGCTGTTTGTATTCAAACTGGATGGATTGTGTGGATTAATGGTCCCTTCCCTTGTGGTGAATGGGTTGATATTGCCATTTCTTTGTCATCTTTGGTCCACATGTTTGAGGGAGATGAGAGAGCTGTGGCTGACAAAGGGTACAGGGGGTATCCTCAGTTCTTTGACTGCCCATGGCGACACCTTGACAATCAACAACAGACTAGCAGGAAGGCTCTTGCAAGGGCCAGACACGAATGTGTCAATAGGAGACTCAAGGAATGGAGCTGCCTCCTTCAGAGGTGGCGCCATTCCCTTGATAAACATGGTAAGATGGCCCATGCTGTGGCCAACATTGTGCAGCTCCAAATTATGGACAAGCCGATGTGGCAGGTGGAGTACTATGATAGAGTCGACAATGAGTTTGACTTTGATTATTAAATAGTTTGTAGTTACTCTACTAGTTGCAGCCTCACTATTAGCCATAGCATTGACAGTCAACAACCAACCAGTCTACTCAGGTGTGTAATGCTTCTAATGCGTTTTCCTGCTTCTCCCTGTCCTCCTTCAACCTTCAACAGAGAGTTGGTCCGTGAGGCCGTGAGGGCCAGGCTCTGGCTGCCTCTCAGGAACTGAGGTCCTTGGCTCCGGCTGGCTGGCTAGCAAGTGGTACCATCCTTTGCTGTTCTTTTTATCTTTTATCTTTAGAAGCTTCAACCTTTTGTTGCTTTTGGTTCCTCAGCAGTAAAGACATTCCAAAGCTTCCTGAGACATGAAACTCAGCTTCAGCTTGCTTCCTGCACTTCACCACCAAGAGCTAGCTCTCAGCTTCCAAAGCGGATCAGATTTCCTCCATTTCTTGTGCAGCTTCACTATCTTTTCTGGCTCTTCTGCTCTCCCCTTCTTGACTTGTTCACCCTCTTTGGATTCGATTCTGTGACCACCAAATGATTTCCTGTTGGCGTATTTGTCCTCCTCAGGTTCTGCAACCATACCGTACTAATGATTTGCTTCGTCCAAGTCTACAGGTAGTGGTTCCAAGAACAACTCCACAGTCGTACTAGTAGTTCACCTATAGAGGAGACAGCATTGCATGTATTGAAGGAGATCAAAATGGAGTTGACCAAACACTTGCTGCCTTGGATGACACACGACATGGCCACTTTCTGCGGAGTGATACATCATCATTGTCAGAGCGTGACAGAAACCTACCCAGAATTCTACCGGTAAATAGACATCTCCATTGTCGGACTGCCTTGGATCATCTGTACAAAGCACAAATACCCAAAAGGGTGCATATACATCCTAGGAAGCTCAGCTCTTGTGTCTATAACTACACATGCAAACCGTTTCTTTCTAAAGAACTCATGGAGAGTGGAGTCTCTCAAGGGACAGCTGAGCTTGGAAGCTTGCTACCTTTGCAAATTGGTCTAGGTGAACTTTTGCATCTTCAGAACCGCGCAGCTTTGAGCTGCTACGGCTAAGCTTCCTAAAACACTCCTCAGCTTCCACAAAACTCAAGATGTCAGCCTCATCTATCTCTTCTTCGATAGCTCGCGAGAAGTCCCCAAGTGGGTGAGATGACGTACTAGTACCGGTACTGGTACGCAAAATGGCGCTGTGCGGTCTCCATCCTCCAACCTCCTCTACTAGCTACTGTAGCTACTGGTAGTTGCAAGTTCCTGAATGTTCGATGTAACGTGTCAAGTTACATTATTGAATCGTGTTACAGCCAATTGAAGCCGCCTCTCCTCTCCCACAAACAGTCGAGGAAGCGTCGACGATTGCTTTCACTTTTTACTGTGCCCAGCAAAACCCCCAGACCAGAGTGGAAGAAACAGTGACTTCTCTTGGGAACAAGCTAAGTGAGAAGGAATTCATCTGGCTTACCTTTTGGTTAACGATTACCGAAACTATATGTTTTGGCTTGGTCATGTGGTGGTGGGGGTTCGACCTCATTGACTCGATGTCTGAGGCTGAAGAAACTGCCACTCATATTGGCAACATGACATCACAACAGATAAACGTGCATATTTGGACCACGGCCACTTTGGACGTTCTATATCCCTTTACGTTTTCCAGTTTCTTTCTTGGTGTGGCCATCAGAGCATTCAAAAGTCACTGGCTGGCTTTTCTTCCCGCACTGCTTTGTGTTCCCACAGACCTCACTGAAGGATATGCTCAAGTCATGCTGTTGACTGGACATCAAGAATTCATGGCCATCAAGACCACTGCCACACGTCTCAAGGTGTTGCTGTTCGGGATGGCATTGGTTATCGCCATATTGGGGGCAGTGCAACTATGGTTAGAACCAGAACGTGGCACAGGAAAGAAGCAAAGCTGAGTTATAGATGCCGGTACTAGTACCAGTACTAGTACCGGTAACTGGCAGTCCTTGTTTTTGTGCTACCAACCAAGCCACAAATTCAGTTCCAGCAGAAATCCATAAATCCATCGTGATTCAGGCTGGGTAGATATTATTCCAAGCAATCGTACAGCCTTCTTTGTCACCAGGCAAACAATGGTGGCTCGAGTGCAAGCATTTCGCTACCTGAACTGGCTCTATCGTCCATCTGTTGGGCACCACCGTGGTGTGGATACGGTAGAATTCTCTTCTGCTTTTCCCGTCCAATTTGTCACACCATAGCGATGCATTTATTGCATACCAGAATTGAAACTCTTCAATGCACGGAGGACAGTCTTCCAGTTTCCTTACATCGCTACTCGTCGAGGCATTGGTCATTCGATGGGCTTATCCACCCGCACCGGTTGTATGCGATTCATCGTCTTCCGTGCATCTCTCGCACTCGTTGTATCGACAGAATCCTTGGAACTTTCCACAATGAACGACACATCCCCGGCGTGAGGTGCTGCCATACCAGCATTGGATGGATTCTCTTCTATCCCCTCCTCCTCTTCTTCTGGGATATATTTGTCATGTTCGTTGCCATCCGGCAACACCTTGAAGCTGCTGTCTGGCATTCCTGGATCTCTGCTGACCGCAAGTGATGATCTATTAGTGCGGGCAGTAGCTGTTTGGTTGGTCTTCCTGCTGCCAAACGTTGGCACTGTATATTTTTCGCCACCCCATGCGTTGTCAACACTCAGCTTTCTTGTGCTTCGCAATTTCTCAGCATATTGTTTTATCCCAGTGTGAATGGGTTCAGTACTGTTCTCCTGCAACCTTGACCTTCGATTTGCATCATCAAATTTGGTAACGTTGAAAACTAGCGGGCCAAAGATCAAGGCCAAAACCACAAAGTCGTTTACCCATATCGCGATGGATCTCACAAAGAAGCTGGTTGTCGCATCGGATCCAACGACAAATAGCACAGGAATGGCGACGATCATGATCTGCAAATTTGAGAACTTAGATCATCCGTGGACAATAGATATGTGAGACCAAGACCACACAAGACGATGAGAAGGATGAGTCATGACCATACGGACGCAGTGAGAAAGCCTTCTCAAGGGAACTACATGTGTACCCAGGTGGATCCCCCAAATCCAAAGACTCGAAACGATTCGATTGAATTCTACCTACCATCGCAATGCTCACAAACTTGCCGTTGCTCAGTCTGTTTGGAATCTTTTTCGTGACATAACACATGAAACATGCTGCGAGCATCAGGCAGAGATGAAAGGCAAATATGATGGATGCGAAAATGGCCCAGGAGTCCGAGACACAGATACCCTGCGAAGCAAGTGGATTGCCCAGCTGATCTTCGCTGAGTATCGTTCTGCGCCACTGAAGTGGGTCGAAGACAGTCCATGCCTAGCAGGGGGCACAATCAAAGTGTGAGCGCACCTGTGTTGACAGCTTTGTGTCCGCAGGATGACCACTTACCACCAGAATAGAAACATCTACCAAAAGCACAAGCGCTACAAGCCCCAAAGTTCCTTGCAATGAAACTGTAACGCGTCTCATCTCTGCGGCAGACCTCATGAGGATGAACAGTCTTAAAATCTTTGCGAACAGAGTGGCAAATGTGATTGAGAAACCAACTGAATACATCCAAGGAATGAGCATGCAGGCACCAACAGGGCCGTCGCCCTCGTCCTCCTGCGCCAAAGCCAAAATGGTCGAAGAAGAAATAATGCAGCCCAGCAAGATGAGTACGAGAAAGCTTGGCTGACTGATCTTGACGTGAGCCCGATTCCTGTGGACCATCAACCACAATCCACAAGCTGCTACCAGCACAAAGTTAATTGTAACCAGGACATATGATGTAATCAGCAGTCCGGGTGGAAGCAGGTTTAGATCCTCTGGTTCCTCAATTGAGCAATCATCCCCCGTCCACTTTGTTGATTGACACAAGCAAGCACCAGAAGCATCGGAAGCTCCATGATTGGGATCACAGGGGAGATCGCAGTTCTTTCCTGCCGTCCCAACGGGACAATACTGGTCCTTTTGAAAGTACTTGTTGAATAGTGCATCTGTTGTTTGATTCCCAACGGCGCGATACACCCACTTTTTCATGAGTCTTGCAACCATCGGCGGAAGCCGATCATGTATGGGCCATACCTGTTCAATCCACCAAGGAAACGAACACCAACTGAAACCATTAGTGCAGCCATCTCTGATATACACATGCACATTTCCTAGACTACAGTGACACGTACCATGTACTGGGTGTTGAAGGATTCACGAGTTAGCTCCAGCGTTCGATCCTTGTGTCAAGATGATGATGGAACCCCAAAAAAGAAGAGAAACATGGAAACCGCGAAAACACAGCTTGTTTGAGATTCAGGAATCAAAATGTATTTCCATTTCAAAGCAAGTAAGGCAATGTCACACTTAATTTCTTTCTCACCGATGAAGCGCGATATCGGATGAGCAGTTCATCCTCCGCATACAGCACACATTTTTCGTCTTTGAGGGCTTGGAAGCATTCATCTTGCGACGGGCAGTCCAAGAAATGCATTCCAGGATGTCGATTGTAGACGACTGTTCGTAAATACGTGCCAGCAGGTACACAAACTGGTACTTGGGCCTGTAATGCTTCTTGCAACGTTGTGTAGTCTTTGCCAGATTTGCCCACAAATTTGACAGTGGAAATGGTCGTCCGTAACCAAGGAGGCGTAAAGTCCACTCGCATCGATCGATCATGGGTGCTCCAAAAGTCTGCAATAATGAGATCAAAAGCCTCGCATTTTGACGCGTTGTAACCCTTGGATGTGCAGTCGTTGGCCACAAGGTCTAGGGCATCGTTGTACTGCGTTGGAGCTGGACTAAGAGAAACTTTCAAAGTAACATTGTCTTGAGCAGCAAAGATCTTCATGCTTTCGAGCAAGTCGATCTGGAATCCTTGGTACGAAATATCATCATCACTTCCATCTCCCCGATCGACTATAGCAAACGGCGGCGCATTCAAAACTGCAGCTCTCAAGCTGATGGCTGCTGGAAAGATTTCTGGATCTGCCCCCAAGGAAGGTCCTAGCAGCAAGACAAAGACACATTGTAGAAGCAAAATGGCTCGAAGAAAACCATGTCGAGACATCTTCAGGGCATGTTATTATCACTACTTAGTAGCTGGCTAGTATTGCAACGAATAGAACAGAGCAATGTTGTAAAGGACGTGTAAGTCCTTCTTCGATTATCAAGGATGCTCAGCTGCTCAGCATTGTTGTTCGTTGTTGTGGCCACAGGTACGTTTTCGGTTGCTGGTACCAGGTACTGCCTACGAGTACGTGTGGTACCGTCAATTTACCGGTACCTTGTACGAGGCCCGTGCAGCTCTTGTGCGTGACGTGAGTGGCAATTGCAAGTGGTGCGTGGTGCGTAGGGTACTGGTACTGTTACCTGGTACAGTCAACATTCAGATATATATACTGGGGGGATTCAGGAATTCAGTAAATATAACAGCGAGAATAAATATTGATTTTATCCCTAACCCTAACTATTCCCGTAGAATTGTACGTGCTCTAGTACTAAAATAGGGTTAGAGTTAAAAATGTGGGAACTGGAGTATTCTTAAATATTATAGAGCGAATAAATACAAGATTATAAATATAAGCGAGCGTTGACTGTACCTGGTACACATGCACGCTTCCGACCAATAATTGAGATGTTGTGGAACAAGTATACTGAAAGAAGTACAGCCCAAAGGGTAGTGTGATTTGTCCCTCACAAATTTTCACTTAGGCTAAGTGTGTGTAAATCCGCTTAGGCTAAGTGGATTTACGTGAATCACTTAGACTAAGTGTTCTACTTAGCCTAAGTGGATTTATGTGAATCACTTAGACTAAGTGTTCTACTTAGCCTAAGCAAAACACTTTGGCTAAGCGATACACTTAGGATAAGTGATGCTCTCCGAGACATCTTCTCAACAGCACAAGTCCCTGCAGCTTGTTGTATACACAAACTCTGTATTACTGCTGATCCTCATTCACAATAGTAACTATATTGCCAGCAAGTGCTTTGGGGCTATGCAATGAGGGAATGTCGGCCACACCAAATGCACAACTAATGACCAACAACTCTCAAATGGTAGGTAAATACACTGAACATGTATTTGGAAACATTGGGAACATCCAAGATTTTGCAAGAAAGCAGCATCATCTGTACATCGAAATGGTACAACTGTACCCACAACTCCTGAGGAGTACTTTCGGACTTCCAGGTGCCCGGGAACCGTACTAATTCTCAATCGTACAGAGTCTCTCTTGGCATTTTGTTGTTGTTGCATATTTACATTATAGCCAAGGATGGAAGCCAGATTAATAGTATGCTGCAATGGATTGATGGTACCATCCTCCAGGGAAGTTGCAACCTGAATCTGAATCTCTGTTGTAACCCAATTAAACTCTTTCTTGCGAAGCTCTTTGAACAGTTCACAAGAAGCTGAAAGTGGGGGCATAATGGGTGATAGTTGTGTCTCCTTGTGTCTGTGTGTGTCCTTGCTGCAGGGACTTGTGTTGTGTTGTTGAGGAGACTTGTGCTATTGAGGAGATGCCTCGGAGAGCATCACTTAGCCTAAGTATTTCGCTTAGCCTAAGTGTTTCACTTAGTAAGTGAGTTGCTTTATATGGCTTAGCCTAAGTGTATTGCTTAGGCTAAGTAACACTTAGCCTAAGTGGATTTTCGAGCACTTAGCCTAAGTGAAAATTTGTGAGGGACAAATCACGCTACCCCTCACAAAGATTCATTTGCAAAAACATTTAACTCCTAAAATCACTGCCTTTCCTACTAGCTAGACCCCAGCTACTCTAGCTAGCTTAATGGGGGATCTAACAACTTTAATTAAAGCTTTGATCCTGAGTTGTTCTCAGGAAGGGGTTTTAGGTTTTAGAGTGGTGACAGTGGGCCCTTGGTGTTGGGTGGCAGCACGCTACGGTTTACCCGTAGACCAACAGAGCATTTGAGTACACTAGTCACCACAAATAAATCTTCCTCTGAGGACACACTTCTTGAAAGAAATGATACCCCAACCCTCAACCGCCAATAACCACATTGATAATGAAGCAACATCTGCGCTCACCACGTCCCTACCTGCTCTGCAGTCGGTGAGAGAACGAGGATGTATTCTCCATTGCAAACCAGATCCCTGGAAGCAGAGAAAGGTGTTGGATTCACCAATGATCTATGCTGTGCTATGGCAACTGCTGTTTTCAATGATTCGATTCTTCCAAGGTGGAATTCACCTACTTTACCTTCAAGGAACACTTTGCTGCCATTGCAGATGGAAGATTGGATGTATTGCACCGGCATTGCATGTGTCCTTGAATAAGGTATGGGATGGGATGTGCTAGAAAATGCACACACATGGTGGCTAGCTAGCCCACCCCTGTGTGGTGCATGGTGAGATTTGTGGGGACCAAATGCAAAAGTACGATTGATTATTTTGGTAAAGCCTGACTGGAATAAAGTAAATTTTACCTTTAAGCCTGAAAGGTCACCAGAGCACATGTAGAAGCAAGTCAAAGACCAAGCGCCAAGAGTCAAGCCAGTCGAGTCAAGCCAGTCGAGTCAAGCCACCTGAAACAAATATTCTGTGTTGAGTCTTATGGGCTACCTATTGACTCAACTACCAAGGCACACAACATCTCAACCTTGTCCACCAAGTCTTCTTCCTCCTTGATTGAGCCTAGGTCTTGCACTACGCAGTGTAAAGATCTTTCGAGTGTTTTGAGTTTGAGAGAATGAAAGTTATGAGAGAGATTAGAAAGCTACAAAAACTAATCCATGAGAGAGATCGTTGTGAAGCTCATTGAAGTTGGTCTCCCACGGGAGGCCTTGAAGTGTGATATCGTAGGTTATGGTAATAACACTACGTACTCCACGGTCCATTTCCGGAACACGTGGAAACTTCAGCTAGTAGCTGTCTAGTAGCGTGGAAGCTTTCCACGCCGGCTAAATATCTAGAGCGATGTTTCATCGATGCGACGGGATACAGCTTACAATTCAGCTTTACAGCTTTACAATTGGCAGGCTTATTCTAGAAAATAATCAATAACTG